CTTGATCCTGCTTCTAGCGACTGCTTCATGCACGGACTGTTGGAACATTACACAAAGCGTCCAACTGAGATTGAAAAGCTAGATCACGTTTAGCTTCGCTGGTCACTGCATTGGAAGACGAAGAAAATGAAAATAATGAGATGCAAGGCGAATCTGCAGAGGGGCAACTTATACGTCTAATGGATGGCGCGGGATTTATTCGCAAACGTTCCCGACCAAAAGTAATCCGCTATAGAATATACAACATCCACACAGAGCTGGAACAGTTTTATCGTGAAGCGGTGATGTTATATCAACCGTGGAGAAATGAAGAAAAAATCATAGCCGCAGACTGTGGGGCGCTCTACAACACACATCGCGAAGAAATTATGCGGATTAGGAAGCAGTATCACTTCTTCTCAAATGATGTTCTTGAGACAGCTGTGGAGCAAGCACAAAGCGATGCTCGATACCGCGAAGTGGAAGAAGAGGCCAATGTCACTACACCCACTCTTGACATCGATAATAATAACTTTATTCAGGAACAGGAAGAAGCGCATGTCGACAGTGGAATGTACGAGCGAAGCCCATACGTCGAAAATTTTCAACTGCCAAATTGTTCGAAGAAATACTGAGCTCACTGAACTGCGAACAGAGGGATTACGTAATGCACATTGCGGCACACTTCAAACGCGACAACAGTCCCGTTTATCATTTCATAACAGGTGGAGCTGGAGTGGGAAAAAGTGTACTTATCAGAGCAATATATCAAGTTCTGCTGCGAATATTTTCAAAGCAACTGGATCTAAAGCCGGACTTTCCCTCCGTCTTACTGTCTGCTCCAACGGGGAAGGCTGCGTTCAATATTAAAGGGCTTACATTTCACACGCTGTTTCAATTGCCTGTCAATTCGGCGACTCTTACGGAGCTTTCCGCAGATATTACAAACACAGTGGCTACAAGACTGCTGCATCTGCAAGTGCTGATCATCGATGAGATATCGATGGTTGGAGAGCTCATTTTGCGTATGGTGAACACGCGACTGCGCTATTTGTTTGGCGATGCGGAATTTGGAGGGAAAAGTGTCATTGCTGTGGGCGACTTTCACCAATTGCGCCCAGTGATGGCAGCACCGATATATGGAAACAGATCCTGCGATCCGTACGCCGAAGTATTCGGTAAACCGTTGTGGTATTTGTTCCAAGTTTACAAACTTACAACGGTGATGCGGCAGGACGAGCAGGACTTCAAAAAAGCGCTGACGAGTTTAGCGCATGGGCAGCTTACACCAGCAGATAAAGCACTTTTCCAGTTCCGCACATTTTCGGAACTTCCTCCCGATGCTGTGAAACATCGGCCCATTTTTCTATTTCCGAGCAATGCTGAAGTAGATAAATGGAATGAAAAGGTACTGAAGGAAATGCCCGCGACTGAGGCAAGAGACATCCATGTTGCTGGAGACGGAACCGATTCCGCCAGGCGTGTCATATTATTAAGTGTTAGCAACGATCGCGTGACCACACAGCAAACAATGGGTTTGCTACGTGTACTGCAGCTCAAAGTTAGAGCACGGTACATGGTCACATATAACTTGGACACAAGTGTTGGACTCACAAACGGTGCTACGGGACGACTAGTACACATCGATATAGCACAACAACGCCCGGACATAAATGTACCGCGAAGACCGGTGCGCGTATGGATGGTATTTGATGAGCCCACGGTGGATACCAATCTTTGGAGAAGATATGGCGCCATCATTACTCATTGCAATATCCCCCTGACTGGACACCGTTGTGGCCCGCAACTATGACGATTAAACGCAGTAAGTCGTCAAATTTGCAAGTACTTCGGAAGCAGTTTCCAATGGTGCCAGCCGAGGTAATAACGATTCACAAGAGCCACGGCCAGACGTATGCATCTGTTGTCGTTCACACAACACGAAGAATGACACGAGCACTCCTTTATGTTGCTCTGTCACGCGTCACGTCATTGACAGGCCTTTTCATCACTGGCTCTTTTGCTCCGCCGAATAGACCTCATCCCAAAGATCCACTGCAACTGGAACTGCAGTGCCAGGAGCGGTGTTTGCTGATGCCGGCATTTAAATTCCTGCATGAAACACGTAACGTTGTGCAAGTACTTTATCACAACGTCCAAAGTTTCGGGAAACACAGTAAACAAATTGAAAACGATTCAATGTTCAGAACAAGTGATATAATACTCCTCGGAGAGACCTGGACACTGACGAGGGAGCAAATAACTGTTACCGGATTTCGGCCAGTATCGCGTACTGATTGCGCAGGACTTGTCAGAAAAGCTGGAGGAGCGTGTTGCCTCATATCGGAGCAATTGATGGAACGAGCACACGATGCGATGAGAATTGAAGAAAACGGTAATGTACTGCATTCGGCCTTTGTTAAACTGGACGACGTGCTCATTGTTGACGTCTATGCACCTCCAGTGATTTCTGATGACTCTGTTCGTTAGTTTCTATCCAAGATTTGTACTGGTTCCGGACGCACACTTATCATGGGAGATTTCAATCGAAATGTGAGTGGCACATACGATCATAGTTTTAAAGAAATGGTGCAACAGTTTGGGTTAACAATCAAAAACAGTGCCACAACAGTTGCTAACACGACATTGGATATTGTTTGTAGTAATTTCGAGATTGCGCATGGCACCTACGTATCACTGACTAGCTTCGACGAACCGATCTCGACCCGATATGAAGCTATTGCGCCATGCAGTATTCGTTAAAAATTGCTGTATGTTACAGCTGTGATAATATTGTGATATTTATTGTGATCAGTTTTCAAATTCTGTTTAATTTCTATACATTAATAAAGAAAATTATTAATTCGCTGAGTCTAATGTGTATATTTATTTGTTTAGCAACAACTGCTATCTTTCTCAACTGTTCAAATTATTCAATTATTAATTGAATGTCACTATGATAATTTCTGACAGTCACGGAGGTCAGTTAATTCTTTCAGTTAGAAGCATCTGCCGGTAAAACCAGTGCTGTTAGCGACGAAAACCAGCGGAGAACTGTGCAAAAAACGCATCTTCGCACGGGCAGCCCGTGCGTTGGCCAATTATTTTATACGTTTTTGCTGTGCGGCACGAAAGCGCTGCAGTAGGCAGCAAAAACCCATACTGTAACCATGCAGTCTCTGTGCGTGTGTGTGTGTGTGTGTGTATGTTTGTATGTGTATGTGCGCGCGCTTGTCTACCCGGATATTTCTACTCGACAACCAGGCAAGCTTTGATGCTGAAACTGGCCAAGTGCGACCTCAGGAATGAGATGTCAGTTTCCACGCACGTCTGTTAGAGGGAAAATTGCAAACTCGGTAAAGAGAAAAACTAGGAAGCTGTGGAGCTTTAAAGGATTGCTCTCTGCTAGCGTACAGTCAAAAGATTTCAAAATTAATACGTTAGTTTACGCGAGTCGCACGTACGGACACGCAAAAATTTTGACGGGAGAATTACTAACTCAGGAGCCAGAAAAGATAGAAAGCTGAAATTTTAAAATGTTCTCTAATCACGTGCGACCGAAAGCTTTCAATTCCAGCTTGTACTGCATCTCACGTACACGAAAAATTCGACTTGAAATATACCAACTCGGGAACTAGAAAAACTAGAAAGTTGGAATTTTAAGGAGAAGTTTCCTTCGACCATAAAATTTCAAATTCAGCTCCAACATCCGCCTGGGTTCGATAAACGACCGATCACCGAATAAATTTACAGCAATCACGCATGCTTTGGGTCAAGATTTCATGCGGTCGCGTGGTGCAAAATTACCGTCCGAGCCAACATTCTTTCCCCACTGGATACAAGAAAAGGCCAAAGTGTGTAAATGTAACGGAGCCATCAAGAAATCTCTACGTGTTAAACTGTAATGTGGCAGTCAGTTGCGCCTTTGACGTTCTGACTGCTTCATGTTTAGCGCAAAAACACATGGTCGCATCGGAAAGCCTGCTGCGTGCCGACCTGGGTTATGCATTTCCACATGGGTTTTAGTTCTAGCTCTTCACATATTCGACTGTCGATGTCAAAAGTGACGTGCTACTTATATTGAACTTCGTATTATTAGCATCTGCCAGACATCCTCTACAAAATAATTGGTTCGTAGTTAGCTTTTCTCCGCATTCAAAGCCGTGTTCTGATTTCCAGGTTGGTGCTGTTACATATTCAGAGCGACGCATATTAGGATCTTAAATTACGGTGCACTTAATGCGCGAAGTGGGTAACATCATGAAAAGTATGATGTCCACTGATAAAATGACGAATTCACCAGCGGCATTCTCAAACGAATATGCTGACCTTTTGGGTGCGCACTGTTTTTATTTAGTATTACACATTTAGCGTGCAGTGCGCGGCAGAAAGATGTTGCTGCTCACAGTTTTGGCAGTTATTTTGTGGTTAAGTCAAATTCAAGAAAGGATTTGGTTTGTGAGGGCGTTGCAATGCTTTTCGAACCGAGTCCGAGAGATAATGTGATTTTGCAGATTTCTCGTAGCACATTTTCTTTTTTAATGTAAAGTATTTTTAGGAAAGTGATTGCCAAAGAACGTCAAAAGTGCAAAATTGTCTACGCGGGTGTCATCTAAATTTTCGGCTTGAAGTGGAACAATAAAATTCATAGCTCGGATAGGGCGCGGTTTTTGTACTGGAGAACAAGGAAAATTAAGAAACAAGTGGTTAACCGCACTGCAGTGGCCAGTGTGATCATACATTTTTCCACGGTTTCGTGTGGCAACAAAATAACAATAAAAACTTCCATTGTTACAGTTTTTATGCGTTTTTGCTGTGCAACGCTGTAGCACTGCTACAGCGAGCGAAAACACATATTGCAACGACCCTTGGTGTGCGCGCGTGTGTGTAAGCGTTCGTGCGTCTGTCCGAATATTTCAATTCAGCAACTACGCAAACTCCGGAGCCAAAATTTTGCCAGTGAGCTAGATAGCACCCCAGGACCGCAGTAGCCGTCGTGTACGTCAAGGGCTCGCGTATGACCACATGAAAGTTTTAGCGTGGGATGGCTAACTTGGGAACCAAAAAAGCTGAGAGGCTGAAATTTTAAGGGGATTTCCCCTGTCCACGTAGAGCTCAAAGATTTCAAATTCAGCCCTCGGTTTTGCGTGGTTCTCACACATGGCTCCGTAAAACTTTTTGGTGGGAAAACCACTAACTCGGAAATCAGAAAAGCTGAGAGGCTGAAATTTTAGCAGAATTTTCCCTTTGCAAGCGCACGTGATAGTTGCACGATTAATTTTCTAAAGTTCGAAGATCAGTATGTTATAAATTCTAGCTACTGTAATTCCAAGTGATCTTACAGCAGCACGAGATAATGCAAAAATGCATGATTGCATGCGCACCGGGCCGGCCCGGTGCGCATCGCCGATGACTGCATCCATGCAACTCAAAAACACATACTGTTAAGGGGTTGTATATATATATATATATATATATATATTTGTATTTATCTACTTATTTATTCGTTTGTATCGATTTTTCATTTCGAGACCTACAAAAGCTACAAGGCTGAAACTTTGGGAACTTGATCTACATGCGTATACGGGCCCCTATCCCAAAATGAGCGCTCTTACCTACGTGGTTCCCATGTACGAATCCGTTTTTGGCGGGTAGGTTGCTAACTCGGGAACCTGGAGAGCTAGAAATCTGGAACTTTAAGGGGATGTTTTTTGACAGCTGTGGTGGCCAGTCTCAGTTTTTTTAGCTAGAAACATCTGCTGGAAAAAACAGTGTCGTTAATGGCAAAATCCTGCAGAAAATGGATTTTCGCACCGGCGGTTGGGACGATGGCCAACTGTTTATGTGTACTCATGTTAGAAATGTTCTTTTGATCTCCCACATTCGAGGAAGAGAGTCATTAACTGAGCCGATATTTTTTTCGCATTGTGGGGTATCGTGAGTTTCAACAGTCCAGTGGTTTGGCTACCCGTGAGATGAGTGTAACGACAGTTTCGCCAATGGAACTTTGATATGGTTCCACACGAACGTAGGTGCACGTGGAAGCTTCTTTTATACAGGCAGACTTGCACGTGGACGACAAACGTCTACGTGAAAGTGAGTTTCGTACTTAGTTTGGTTCTCAAGTTAGAAGGATGCCAACAGGTCATGCGTTTGAAATTTGCGACCATACGGAGTATAAGGCGTACATGGAAATTGGTCTTACATTTCTGGTGCTGCACATGGACAGATAATATACTCGTAAATGTCAGCTTTCTAGCTGTCTGATTACCAAGTGAGGCAACTGGTCGGCAATTTCACAAATTGAATTTTGGCATGTCCAACTGCAAGACACGAGCGTAAACGAATTCTCATTTTACTTTTGCTGGGATAAATATAGGCAGTAAACATTCTTTGAAAATTACAACGTTCTATTTCCGAGTAGAGAGACTGCCAACATATCCGCAAGACAGCATCATCATGAAACTTTGACTTCTAACTTGAATAGACAGCATCATCATGAAACTTTGACTTCTAACTTGACTGGTTCAGTATCGTTTCCCACCAAAAATATCTCCTGCGCGTCCGTACATGAGGAAGTAAAAGAACGTAGATGTTCATTTTTCGTCTGGAAACCTACTTGTCGTGGCGAAATAATCTATCAAAATTTGAACTTCGCAACTTTTGTAAAAGTGGAAATATTAAGCGCTTTTTAGACTTATGGAGGTCATGAAGTTAAGATATGGCAATTTATCCCATATATATTTCAATATCGGCACTGCATCATGGTATGAGAATAGCGGTGGATTAGGCAGTGTCGAGACACGATGGGATACAACCCTGGCAGCTCAAAATGTGCTGAAAACTACAACGGCGAATATTAACAAGGACTACAAACGCTTTGTTGATATAATTCTTGAGTACGCTAAACGAGTGGATTGTGTTAAATCTTAACGAAAAAATTCGAGAATCTTAGCGGTTATGAAAATGCTGTTAGAGGAGAGAAAAATCATGAAAAGTGATAAAGCTCAAAGCGTTAATCACCCCTTCTCTGCAGGCACATTAGACAATGGCTGAAGAATATGTCGAAAACTACAACCGCCGACGGAATACAGAGACAGTTTAAGAAAAACAAGTGCTGGAGAGAAATGCTGTTCTGTAATCTACAACAGCAGCGCTCAAGGACGGAAATGGATGTCGGATAACAAATCGAACAGATACGGAGAACATTTGTAAAAAATTTTACAAAAATCCATTTGCATCGCGTAGTTACATTCCAGCACCCATAATTCGCACTACTGAGCAGCAGCTCCCTTCAGTGATGGTCAATGCAGTAGGGTACGCAGTTCTCCAAATGAAAAGTGGAATGGCTTCC